ATCGACAGCCGAAGCACCCGAGAAGCTCAGCAACGACTGGGGCGAGAAAAGAGGGGTTGCAATCTGCAACCACGGCCCCCCCCCTTCCTACCCAATTGCAATCCCCACCCAATCGCAACCACACACACACACACACTCAAAGCGGATTTCCAGGTTCGCTTCTGACTTGCAGGCGTGCTTGACAAGGGGTGGGGGCGCATGCAGGGGAGAAGGGAGTCTCCAGGACAGCCACCTACCGACTGTCGTGGTGCGGGTGCGGAGGTCCGGCCCGCCGATCCCCGCGCTCTGTTGCACCTGCGGAAGGCGGAGGGAGAGGAGGGCGGAGGCTTTTCCCCTCGAGGAAGAGGTGGGGTTTGCTCACGGCAGCCTCGTCGCCGTCCCTGGAGCGTCCCGGGAGCCGGAGACAAAGAGCTCCTGCTTCGCCCTTGCGAGCTCCCAAGGGGAGAGGAAAAGGGGGGGAGGGCGAGGGTTGGATCCTGATAGGAAGGGGTGGGGGTGGGTGGGGACATCCTTGCCCTACAAGCCTCCTTTACTAGAGAGAGCCAGAAGGGGAGGGGGGGAGGAGGAAGGAGGGGGTGGACAGGGCTTAAGCAAGACTTCTCCCTTGGCAGCCTTTGCTTGCTTTCCTTTCCTTGGCGAGAAGGAAGCCGCATTGTTCTGGTTCCAGCCTTTGCGTTGGTCTGAGTGGGTGGGTGTGCGCGTGTACAGCCAGCTCACATTGCTGGTTAGGAGTGTGCGTGGAGTCCACGGTGCAGATCTAGGACGGGGGTGGGCTAATGGAGCGCACGCTGTAATCTCGGGTTTCTGCGCACGTGTGCAGTTTAGGGTTGCCAGCCTCCAGGCAGTGGATGGAGATCGTCCGCTATTACAGCTGATCTGCAGGCGGTAGGTATCAGTTCAGCTGGAGAAAATGGCTGCTTTGGAAGGTGGACTCTATGGTATTATATCCCATGTAAGTCCCTGCCTTCCCCGAACCCCGCCCTCCTCCTCAGGCTCCACCCCCCAAATCTCCAGGTACTTCCCAAACCGGAGCTGGCAACCACAGCTTGCGTAGCTGGGCCTCTTCCATTGTTCTGCATTGAAAAGGCCTTTCATCACAGTATGTTCAGCTATGTGCGTGCAATCAAGTTTCACAAATTAAGGTGGCGGTGAATGCTCCCTCTAAGCTGTGGAGTCTTGTGAGCAAAAATTCTACTGTGTGAGCTACTGGCATTAAGGTTGTGAGCGAGCAATTTGGCTACTGCATAAATTAGTTGGTTTGCTCTGGAGCCATCCTTCCTGAGCTAAGACAAAAAAGTGTGAGCCGGAGGCTAAAAAAGTGTGAGCTAGCTCACACTAACTCGGCTTAGAGGGAACACTGGAAAGTGCCTTCCAGTCGCAGAGACTTATGGCAACCAATGTTCCCTCTAAGCTGTGGAGTCTTGTGAGCAAAAATTCTACTTTGTGAGCTGCTGGCATTAAGGCTGTGAGCGAGCAATTTGGCTACTGCATAAATTAGTTGGTTTGCTCTGGAGCCCTCCTTCCTGAGCGAAGACAAAAAAGTGTGAGCCGGAGGCTAAAAAACTGTGAGCTAGCTCACACTAACTCGGCTTAGAGGGAACACTGGAAAGTGCCTTCCAGTCGCAGAGACTTATGGCAACCAATGTTCCCTCTAAGCTGTGGAGTCTTGTGAGCAAAAATTCTACTTGGTTAGCTACTGGCATTAAAGTTGTGAGCGAGCCATTTGGCTACTGCATAAATTTGTTCGCTCTGGAGCCCTCCTTCCTGAGCTAAGACAAAATAGTGTGAGCCGGAGGCTAAAAAACTGTGAGCTGGCTCACACTAACTCGGCTTAGAGGGAGCACTGAATTGGCAACCCTGGAGAGTTGCAAGGGGGCAAATGGGCGGTTTTGCCATTGCCTGCCTCTGCAGAGCAACCCTGGACTTTAGGGTTGCCAGGTACCCCCTGGTCACTGGCAGGGGATAGGAATGCCAGATCCAGGCTGAGAAACTCCTGGAGATTTAGGGATGGAGCCTGGAGAGGACAGTGAGTGGGGTACAACGCCATAGAGTCCACCCTTCAAAGCATTTGTTTTCTCCAGGAGAACTGCTCTCTGTAGTCTGGAGATCAGCTGTTATTCTAGCAGATCCCCAGGTCCTGCCTGGAGGCTGGCATCCCTAACTTAACGGGCAGTCTCCCATCTGCGTAATGCTCCCTCTAAGCCGTGGAGTCTTGTGAGCAAAAATTCTACTTTGTGAGCTACCGGCATGAAAGTTGTGAGCGAGCGATTTGGCTACTCCATCAATTAGTTTGCTCTGGAGCCATCCTTCCGGGGCTAAGGCAAAAATGTGTGAGCTGGAGGCTAAAAAACTGTGAGCTAGCTCACACTAACTCAGCTTAGAGGGAACACTGGTATTGACCAGGGCTCACCCTGCTTAGCTTCAGATACCCGAGGAGATGGGGCTAGCCTTGGGCCATCCAGGTCAGGGCAACACAAATTCATTTCCTCTCAAGGTAGTGTGAGGTTTTTTTCAGGTCGGTGGGGTATTTCACTTACTTGCCTTTCTTGTGTCAGTGCTGCAAATGCACAACCAAAAGCCGTTTACAGTCTTTAATTTTAGAAAGCAGTTCCATCCCCTTCCATTTTTCAGTTCCACGTGAATAACATCCCTGCGTGTAAAACAGGGCAAGGGTTAAAAAGTCCTCCAGTGTGATGCATGGAGCGTTTTGCATTGTACCTTTGCATCCTGACTCCTTTCTTTGCAACGTCTGTCCCACCTAAAGACTCAGGGATCTCCACTCCTGCTCATATCTGATGAAGAGCGCTTTGACTCTCACAAACATACCCCTCAAATCTCATTGGTCTCTAAGGAGCTACGTGTGTGTGTGTGTTTTGTTTGGAAAAAGAGCTGCCAGAACTCTCAAGAGGGAAATGAAGTTTTCAGACTGTACACTGAAAACTCATGAACTTTTAAACATTTTAAAAAGAATTTGTCAAAGCGGTTCCAGAACTCTGTTCCAGCACATTCCCCCAGGGAAAAAAGCCCTGGTGCTCCTGGACTTGAATGGCATGTATAAAAATGCTTGACATAGTGTTGGTTCACAAGTGCATGTTTACCACTGGGTGGCAGCATATTTGATTGGGGACTTACATGTGTGAAGGAGCCATATAAATGAACAATGCTTTTATTGAATGCATGCATTATAGAAGTACAGCGTCCTCACAGTTTTATGAATGCACACGTGAAGCATACTCATGAAGCTGCTTTATACTGTATCAGACCTTTGGTCTATCTTGGTCAGTATTGCCTGTTCAGACCACATCACCTGCTCTTAACTGGAGATGCCCGGTGTAACAGGCCGGATTAACCCCCCGGCCAGAGTAACCCCGGGGTGGGGTTGGCCTAGCCTAGAATAACCCCGGAGGGGTTATTGAGGGGTTATTCTGGCCTAGCCTAGAGTAATGGTAAGTTAAATGTCAGCTGAATCCAATCTCTTCTTCTTATCTCTTCTTCTTTTTAACTTCTTCTTTTTAACCCTGGGGGGTTACTCTGGGCTAGCCCATACTAACCTCCGCCTGGCCAGAGTGGTAAGTTAAATGTCAGCTGAATCCAATCTCTTCTTCTTTTTAACTTCTTCTTTTTAACCCTGGGGGGTTACTCTGGGCTAGCCCATACTAACCTCCGCCTGGCCAGAGTGGTAAGTTAAATGTCAGCTGAATCCAATCTCTTCTTCTTTTTAACTTCTTTTTTTAACTTCTTCTTTTTAACTGCACAACACAACAACCTGTAACCCCGGGCTTAGTTGAGTGGTAACTTAGATGTCAGTGTAACCAGCACAGTGTCAGCTTCTGAGGGTTTCAGGTCCATGAGAAACTTGTCAGGCAATCTGAGATTCCTCTTGGTAGTGAAGAACAGGGTATGAATCCAATCTCATTAGTCAACAGACCCAAATATCAACAGTACTACGACTGACATTTCTTTGGAGAGCCAAATTTTTTAAACTTAAACTATATAGGTAGGTTCTTTGTTATTAACTTAATTATGGTACTCCTAAGGCGGCCTTTGCTGAAAACGTCCTCGATCTGATTGAGGTACGTTCACTGAAGTCGACCCCTTCTAACTCTCCCTTCCCCCCCCTTTTTTAAAAAAGGTTGCCCACAA